GATATGTTTAAATGCTCAATTTTGACCAAATTAAAGTCAATTTGACCAAGTCAGCTATTGACTGGGTCAACATGGTCAATCAAGCCTGGATTAATTTGGAATTGAGCTCAAGGGGATTTGGAATTGATATAAACTTACATAAGGGTGAGTTGGATTGGCCTGTTCAACTTAGGTTGACTTCGTCAACTAGGTTGACCCAGGACCTGGGTCTGGACTTAACACATTTGGTTTGACTCACTAAACCCATTAGAAGTGGTCCTAGGGTCTTACTTGGTCAATTTGGCCAAGTCAACCCTCTTGACTGTAGTCAAGTGAAAAGTAAGGTCAACAGTATATAGTGTTAATGCATCAAAAAACATGCCAACATAATTAAAGTACTTGACTGTACTATGCAAGTGCATCATGAAATGTACAAGTGCATTATGCAAATGCATTAAAAAGTGTACATATCATTTAAAAAGAAATTTAATTTCTTAGATGTGATCTGACAAAGGTGTTAATCATACAAACAGAAATATTTGAGAATGTTGTGTAGGGTTAAAAAGTGAGTTAAACTAAAGTCCTATTTTTAAATTAAACTCTTGCATGTGCTTCAACGTAGAGTGTATCCAAGAATATTATGCCGGCTAAAATTAAAGTGATTTTTGAAATTTCAAGTACAATCCTCCTCGAAAGAACTAGAATCAACAAAACTTGATTTTATAAGGGAATATACAAGCATAAAGCATATCGAGATATTTGATTTTAGTTCACATTAGCCCGTTAAAAACTCTTGAAAAAAATTCAACATAAAATATAAGTTCTCGATTTCAAATTCGTATATAATTCATGAAATCATTAGTTGAACCTGATCCTCTATTGGCAAGCAAAAGGAGTCAACAACATTCTGAGAACAAAATAAATTTATCTAAGAACCTCGACGATGGCCATATTGACAAAAAATCTTAACCAAAGGGAATTGCTTAATTTTAAAAAAAAAAATCATCAAATTATGACATAGATTATTTGGGGCTTATATTTTGATAAAATTTTAAAAAATTCAATATTTACTAAAAGCTAAATATTTAAAGTAAAATTAATCACATGAGACTTAAAGCGAAATCCATCCACCATTCACAACAATTAGTCGATGATGATAAATTTAAGTATAATCTTAGTTCGCAAAATGCAAATGTTTTGTTGAGTATATCATGGTTTAAAATTGCGCAATATGAGGCTCGCCTTTGCGCAATTCCAATAAAAAACGCCTCGATGCTTACGCCTCAAGTTTGTTTTATGAGGCTTGCGCCTCAACTTGGTTGAGGTCCGCCTTAAGGCCCGCCTCGTCTCACTGGCATGAGGCTTACGCCTCACGCTATATATATTAAAACTTACATAAATCTTGAAGTAAATGCCCGACATTGGACTCTATAGGAGAGGAGGAAGGGGAGAGAGCAGTTCATCATAATGATGATTCAAATGAAGAACCCCCTAGTGATGACAGTGCTGATGACTTAAGAGTTCTTATGTGATATATCATTGCTATTTATTTTTGGAAATTGGAATTATATGTTAATGAAAAGAATATTGGGAAGAATTTTGAGTTGAACTATATTTCATGTTGTCTTACTATTGGGATATCTTGATTTCACTTCATCTTTTCTGCTTTTTTATGTTTTATATTATTCACTCATTAGTATATAAAAAATTTATCATTTTATGTTTACGCAATATTTTGATTTTGAGGCTTACGTCTCAAAACGCCTTGAGGCTTACGCCTCGCCTCACGAATGAAAAACGCCTCAATACTCGAATACGCAATTTTAAACATTGGAGTATATCACTAAGATTCATTTTCAAACAAAATCTCACCAGTAAAGATATTGCATGTGTCCTCTAACTATTTGTTTTGCTATCAAATAGCATCACATGAATGATTATAACCAAGGGCTTTTGACCTGATGGTTTTTCTCAAATGATACCACTAAATTACGATCACGACTAGAGCCCATGTTCCCCAAATGGCTCAAAATCATTAAGTGATGAATCATATGATAAATTTGATAGCGAACAAAGAACTTTTTTTTAGTTAAGGATAACTCAAATTTGTCTACTTAGAAAAACATTTACCCAAAGTCTTCATGATATCCTTAGACGAAACAACCCATTGCTGCTAACAAAGATCATCAAACCATTTATTTGTTAAAATCTTATTGAAAAAACACAGGGAGGTTGGGATATGAACTTTTTTAGCTCACAATTGTTAATTGTCCCCCAACACTCACCATGGTCTGACACCTAATGTCTACCAATTACTTTTGTCTGGCATTTGTCTTTCTAATTGCTCAATCTCCCTTTATTTGAGAGTGATTGAGTTGACTGCTAAATATCACTTAACTTCTAATGTTCCTCATCAAACATCACCTAACACCCACTAACAGCCAATGTCCATTGTTGTGGTTGTTCGATTTCCACTATTATAAAAGATAATGATAATGTTAATTGCCTTACCTCAAACATTCATTGTCAACAGTCATTTGATGCCTGCCAAATATCAATATCTATTGCCCACTATTCTCAATTACTTTGTATGGTTTTCCATATTATTCGGATAACTAATTGACCACTCGACATTGTTTAACCTCCAATATTCATTGTTGATAGTATTTGATGCTTATTGATGATTAATGTACATCTTCTAGGCTGTTTAGTCTCCCCTAATTATTAATTACAGTGCAGTACTATTTATATATCATCAAAAAATTATCTTGATTAGGCACAAATCTCTAGGCAAATTAAACCAGAAACTTCAAAAATTAAATCTGAGATCACATGAACTTTGATTTTAGCAAATTTATAGTCAAACTGAGCGCCTTGGAAATACAAACCCAACCACACCAAATTCAACCCAATTTGAGCCCAAATGAGTCTGAATCAAAGACCTGAAACACTATTGGAAGATTCAAACCACAATTTGGATTACCAAAAAGTTTTCAAACATGGTATGCTTATAATTGAATCGAGAGGCTCGACGAGACGAATCCAACGAGCCTAAGATTGCCAAATTCCGATATCATTTAGATCTTCAAATGTCTGACAAACGGTCCACGATCAAGGGATTCAATATCGGTCGTCCATCCGAACCACTTCATCTTTGCCCTTGATCCTCCTCCTATTTACGGGTCATGTCATCCTCAAAAAACAATAAATAGCCCCTTATTTCTCTTGAGAGGGGACCCAAGCAAGAAGAAGAAGAAAAGAAGGAGACGAGAAGAGAAGAATGATAGGAGGGAAGAAACTCCTCCTCGACCACCGCCCGAAAACTCCGCCTAAGTGACGCCAGAATTTTGCCCGATCTCCAAGTTACTTTGGGATTCAACCCGAATACCTAACATCGTCGAATCACAAATTATTGTTTGTAACTAAATTTCAATCCATAAGTGAATCATCATAATCTGATCGTCCTAAATTTCAAGGACGAGTCAGCCTCTTGTATCTCAAGCAAACTATAGTGAAATTATTTCAACTGGGCAGTGCCCCGTGGTTTTTTTCCTTTCAAGGATTTTCCATGTAAAAATCCTGGTGTTTTTATTTCTCTCATGTTTGTGTGCTAGATATATGTACAAAATTGAGACGAAAACTTTCTAACTCTATCGTCACATATATTCTAGTCCGCAACAACTACTATATTGAAATTATATATATTTTTAAAATCTTAAATTGTGTGTAGTTAAATGATATTACATTTTTATACACAAGTCTTAGCCATGCCTTTTTTCTCTCTGATATGTCGACATCAATGAAAGCAATTTAAAAATTGCTCATCAAATGCATAGCCTAAAGGCTTCAACGGATGCCACCAACTCTAGCAGGTGGACTATTGAGTGTATTATGCCCAAATGTGAAACCAAGTCTCAACTATGGCTTCCAACTATTCAAAACTCAAGATAATCCACTCAAAACAAAATTTAGTTCTACTTAAAAATTAACTCATCATAGTTATTATCCTTTAGAAAGAGCTCAAATTTTTTATATTATTCATCTTTTATCATAGATTTTAAAATAACTTTTTAAGAAAATTTTAAGATTATCTTATATTTTAAAATCATATTCCAACGAAGTTTAGAAAGGATGAAAGATTTGCAAAAAAAAACATACTCTCTCTCTCTCTCTTCATAATTATATAACAATATTTATATATAATAATAATAATACACGTTAGCTAATAATTACTGATTAAAAATATTTTTTTAAAAAATAGAAGTTATTAAAACTATCACAAAATTCGATCTAATTTTTTTTAACTCAAAATCGAGTCTTAGTTAAATTATAATCTTTTACTTTCTATGAGCCGAATTGTGAGATTCAAACAATATATAATAGATATGTTACTTATGTTTATAGATATAAACGTAGTGGAATAAAGGCTTGATGTTGTTGTTATTATTGTTGTACTTGTTATGACTGTTAAGCAAAGTAGTTAGATCAAATCATCCTAACCATTCTAATGACTGGGGGTAAACAAATGTCTTGTACTTTAATTAGGAGAATATATATATATACTATTTATAAAATTAATGTTCTCATATCTTTATTCTAAATTATCACTCAAATATAAAAATTCACAATAAAATCTCAACTTATATATTTTGCTTGCCAAATTTTCAACGTTTTAATCATAGCACGTAAAAATATAATATATTTGATAATTCAAACAATATATAATAGATATGTTACTTATGTTTATAGATAAAGAGAATCCTCAATAAAATTGATATGAAATATATGGGTATAAGAATGGCCATTTTCTCATCTCTGATTAGGAAATATTTATAACAAAGTATTTTCAGTACATTGAAATTCAAATTTTTTTAGTTCCATAGGAAAGGGATAGAGTTAAAAGTTCTCAAATCCCTACAAATCATGTTCAACTTCCTCAGGTTGTCCAGTCACTGCTTTCTAATGCATTAGAGAATTTTTCATACTAGAAAATTATTGTAAAAGCAAAAAAGAAAACGGTATCAAACAAAGCCTAAATGATTTGGCTAAAGAAACATCACAACAATGAATTTTTCTATTGTTAAAGCAAAAAATAAAACTGTATCAAATGAAGCCTAAATGATCTGGCTAAAGAAACATCAAAGCAATGAATTGTTGAAGGTTTTGCAACATAAGATCTTAGGAATGCTCATATTGGGCTCTTTTTCCATAATTCACCAATCTTTCTCAGTAAACTATTGTTCTTCTTTAGTGATTCATCATCCAAGTCGTCAAAGAAAAGCAAGTCTGTCAGCTTACCAGATATGAAATTCTTATTAGAATCCTCAATGTTTCTGCCATCATTTTCATATGTGAGAATGGCTGAAGCAGCTTCTGCTGCCTTTCTCCATTGATCTGACTGCACATTAAGCCTCTTTAGCTTAGTTTCCAGCTCCAAGTTCACTGCTCTGGATTCCTCCAGCTGCTCTAAAATTTTCACTGCCCTCTTACTGCTCTTCTCGGCCTCATCTTCAATAAGACCTATTCTTATCAATGCTTCCTTCTTTGCAGCCCTTGCCTTCTCAGCATCGGCAATAGCTGCAGAATATATATTTTGATGTTCACTGTCTCTCTTGTTGAGCTCTGAAATCAAGATTTCATTCTGTTCCAAAATTCTTTGGAGAACTGTTTCTTTATCCAAGAGGTTTGCGTTTAGTTCTTGAACATCTGTTGCAGCCTTCATTAGCTTCAACTCAGAGTCAAATTGTTTAGCCTCACCCTTGCTCAATTCCTCTCTCAGCTCCTTGTTCCTTTTTGATATGTTCTGGACTTCCTTTTCCATGTCAAGCAATCGTTCATTCAACTCTGAAAGTTCAACTTTGGATTTCTCTATGATTGAATTTAGTTCTGATTCTCTCATCCTTGCATTAAACTTCACATGCTCAACAGTTTCATATGCTGATTGGATTTGAATTGCAGTTCGACTTTGTTCTTCACGGTGCTTAGCTTCAGCTGCTTTAAGCGCAACTCCCAACTGCTCTAATTCTAACTGCAAAGCTCCGCATTCAACCTTACAAGGAGGATTTCTTCTATCAGCTTCATTATCCTCCGCAACTATCTGATATTCCGTTAGTAATTCCTCGAGAACACTAACTCGAATTTTAGACTCTTCCAGCTTTGATGTTACAGAGTTCAAGGACTTCAAAAAATTATAACCATCAGCATGGAGAGATTGAATGGTAGTATTAGCTATTTTCAGGTGGTTCTGGGTTTCAGAAAGAATAAATTTTGTTGCTTCTTCTGCCAACCCTCTCTCCCCATTCTTTATTTTAAGGTTCTCAATGTTGGACAGAGTGCCTGCCATTTCTTCTTTCAAGGTATATACTTCAGGTTTTATCATTTTTGAATCCTCAGACTGCCCTGTTTCTGATTTCATAACATCGAGCTGCTGCTTCATCCACTGAATCTCATTCATTGCAGACAATAGGATGGTCGAGTCAAGCAAATGCTGTTTCTGGAGAGCCTCGAGCTCAGACTGCCATACTGAATTGTGCTCCTGGGAGATTTTACTAAGCATTTCGAGTCGATTGTCCTCAGCTGTGGAAAATTCCAACAACTGTAGCTGTAATTCTTCTATTTTTGCCGACTTGGCTGTGAGCTGTTTCTTCACTTCATCAGCTTCCTGCTGTACCTGACTGTTTGATGAGTCACATGACTTCAGCTGTTCCTTCATCTTCTTCAGGTCCTCTTGGAGCTGACTGATCTGAGATTCTAGCTCACTGGACTGGATTGGTCGTTTCTCCATAAATTAAATGAACTACAATCCTAGACGGATGAAAATGCAAGTGAACAGAAGTTTGAAGAACTAGATTGCTTATCAAATAAATGCTGCGAGTTCTAATAATCATCAATGAAAGCCACAGGAACCGATCTCATCTAGCAACCGATCATAACAAATTCCTAATGCAAGATTCACTCTCGGTAGATAAGATTAAATCATAATGTAATTTATAAATATTATCATCAACAGAAATATTAATCCTATAGTGACTTAGACGGTACCCTAACTCTAAATCTGCCAACCAAGTCATTCACAATGTTACAATGCTTCGGGATCATTCTATTCATATGGGATCTAATTAGGAGCTGATTGGTAATGGCTAGGTTTAAGCTATCTCACACATAGGATCTTCCTTTTTTACATTTTTCGTTAAAAACTTAATTTGTCTCCAAATTTATAAAAGAACATACTACTGCATTGAATTCTTTCGCTCCATGGGCCAAGTCCTCGTGCATAGTAAGATTAAGCAAGACTACACGTCTTGGAAAATGCATTTATCTTATTACATTCTGCAATTTTGGGCAATTGCTGATTTATCCTTCTAATGCGATTCTCCATTAAACCTAGCTTCAAGCCACTTGCAAGTAAATCGAGTCAATGACAAGTTATTTGTGTATGCTGCATGTCAACATGTAAAAATGCACTGATTTCCTTCTATTTTTTAACTGCTATTTTTAAATTTCCATTTGACGTTATCTTCTTGCATAGGAGGGCCTTCTGATGTGGACATCAGACGGTAGATGATATTCAAAGGAAGAGTCGAAGATCGACGACCGAGATCACTCCATTTTATTTTAGTTTATTAATTATATTTTGATTTAATTTTGCAATTATCCTTTTTTACCTTTTTTATGCAAGCCCAAGGGGCAAATTTGTCTTTAGTTTCTTTTGAGGCCTATATATAGAGGCCCCTTATCATGTATTAGGTATGATGGAATTATAATAAAAATTTGTGTTCTGCACTTGTATTCTTTGGGGAGGACGTTTAGGGGTGTCAATTCGGGTCAGCGGGTCGGGTTCGGGTTGAACCCGGAATTGACCCGGCACTATTCGGATCAATCCAAACCCGACCCGTTTTTAGAAACGGGTCAGGTTTCCAGACCCGAACCCGACCCGATTCGGGTTCGGGTCAACCCGACCCGACACGAATGACCCGAAATTGGCCTAAAATTGCTACTTTTGGGGTCAAAATCGGGTCAATATTCGATTTTCGGGTCAAAAACGGGTCAATCTCGGGTTTCCGGGTTAAATAGGAGTTTTTGTGTCATTTTCGAGTTATTGGGTCAACCTGAACCCGACCCATTTTTTAAAACGGGTTGATTTACTGAACCCGAATCCGACTCGTTTCGGGTTCGCGTTGACTCGAACCCGGATTTTTCCGAGACGGGTTCAAGTCGTGTCAAAAATTGACACTCCTAAAGACGTTAGTGAGACTCCTATGGAAAGGAGTCGGAGCTTTCACCAACCGCAGGATGGGTACAAGCTCGTGGCTTGAAGTACCTTGGAGAATGGCAACGTATCACCCGTCAGTCTTCGGAAGAGTCCAAGGCTCGCGGTTTTGTCTTCTTTTTTTTATTATTCTCCTTATTTTCCTAACCGTCGCTTCCCCATCTCTCTTTCTCCTATTGGCCGAAAACTCCACCCAAACCCTAGGCCAAAAGACACCCAACCGCCGGCCCAATCCCCTTCCCAAAGCTGCCGGCCATTATCCATCCTTTGGCTCCAAGATTCAAAATCTAGCATTCAAATCCTTTCCTAAATTAGCTCCCCTTTATTTTGGAAACTAATTAAATTCATATTCAATTGAATTTGAATTTGAATTTTACTTCATAAATGGGAAAAACTATTTTAGGGAAGTCCCACAAATCATGCAATTTGAATTTTAAATAGAAGTTGATTTAAATCCACTTTCCTATTTCAAGATTCTAAATATAGCCCCTCATATCAATCACCCATAATAATGCTAGCCGCCAGCCCTAACCCCTTCCTATTTCCTCTTTCCCTACACTTTTCAAATTGATTATTGAAGACATTCCTTATTTGATGCATCTTAAGTTTAGAAAGTTTTTAAATTTAAGTTTAAATTAATTTGAATTTGAAATTCTTTCTTAAAATAGGATGAATTATATTAGGAGGCTTTCCTTAATTCTCCCAATTTGAATTTAATTAAATATCTGTCATAATTCCCCTTTCCTTATTTTAAAAATTCCAGTTAGGAATTTTCTTAAGTCCACATGCATTGTATGTGGACACATTCATCATATGCGGACACATTTACCGTATGTGGACACATTCAACATATATGGATGTCTTCCCTTTTTCCCCTCTTTTGGCTGACCCCCTCCGTTCTACATCAGTTTGGTATCAGAGCATGGTTGCTTACCCGAGACGCGAGCTCGACGGATCGAGCTCTTTTCCACCCCAAGAGAATGATGCCGACATCCAACCGTGCATGCCTATTTGAGGAGAAGCTGAAGATTGACATCTGTAATTGTCCTATGTTATCTTAAATTTTTATTTGTAATTTTTATTTTAATTATATATTTTCCGTTTTTACCCTTACTTAAGAGTCTAATGTTATGTAAGCCCTAGGGGCATGATCGTCTTATTTTAGTTTCTTTTATTTCTGAGGCTTATAAATAAAGGCCCTTGCTAGTGTAAAGTCATGATGGATTATAATAAAAAAAATTGTTTTGCACTTTTGTTCTTTGGGAGGACGTTAGTGGGAATCCCTATGGAGGGAATTGTGGTTTCCGCAAGCAGCAGGATGGGTTTGGTGTCGTGGCTTGAAGTCCCTTGGTGAAGGACATCGTATTACCCGTCAGTCTTCAGAAGAGTCCAAGGCTCGCAGTTCTATCTCTTTTTATTTGTTTTGTTTTTCCTTATTTCTCTAAACCACCACCTCCTCAAGGCCTCCACCAAGGCGTTGATCCTCTCACCCCCATCACCTCCACACCATTGGCCTACACCAGCCCCTCCCTCCTCCGTCCCTTTGGCTGAAATCCACCATGGCTCCACCCACCCGCCGGCCACCTCCTACCCTAGCCCCACATTCCTAAAAAAACCCTTTTTCCATATTTAAGTTATCATTAATTTGAAGAGATTTTCATCCCCATTAATTACCTTATTTTCAAAAACTTCTTTCATTCAATTAATTAATCAATTTTGAGATTAATTGATTAATTATTCCCTAATCCAAATACATTGAACATAGACACTCGTAGTCCCCCTCTCTCTCTTGGTTGGCCCCATACCCATGCCCTCTTTAAATTACTTCCCAAAATTAGAGTAATGATTATCTTGGAAAGGTTTTGAATTCAAATCTAACACAATTTGAAATTCAAATAATTTCCTATATTAATTATTCTATTTTAGGAAAGTCTTTAAATCAATTCCAATTCTATTCTAAATTGGATTTGAATAAAATTATCTCCCTTCATTTAAGATTATTGAATAGGCAAGCTTTAATTACACCCCCCTCTCTCCCTACTTAATTAATGCTTCCCCATTAAGGCCCCTAATCTCTCTTCATTTAAGGGATTAATTAAGTACCCCTTCCCTCCTTTTCCAATTTAATTTGAAATTCAAATTTCAAATGACCCCGCCCCCCATATCCATTTTACATCAATTTGGTATCAGAGCATGGTTGCTCAGGATGCGAACTCGACGGAGTCGAACTCTTTTCCACCCCAGGTGAATGATGTGAACATCTGACAGTAGACGATATTCAAAGAGTCAAAGATCGACGGCCGAGATCACTCCGTTTTATTTTAGTTTTTTAATCGTATTTTTATTTAATTTTGTAATTTTTCTTTTTTACCCTTTTTATTTAAGAGTCTTATCTTATGTAAACCCAAGCGGCAAATTTGTCTTTAGTTTCTTTTGAGGCCTATAATTCTCTTGTATTACGTATGATGGAATTATAATAAAAATTTGTATTCTGCACTTGTGTTCTTTTGGGAGGACGTTAGTGAGATTCCTATGGGAAGGAATCGGAGTTTTCACAAGCTGCAGGATGGGTTCGGGCTCGTGGCTTGAAGTCCCTTGGAGAAGAGCAACGTATCACCCGTCAGTCTTCGGAAGAGTTCAAGGCTCGCGATTTTGTATTCTTTTTTTTATTATTCTCCTTATTTTCCTAACTGTCACTTCCCCATCTCTAGTTCTCCTATTGGCCGAAAACTCCACCCAAACCCTAGGCCAAAAGACACCCAACTGCCGGCCCAATCCCCTTCCCAAAGCCGCCGGCCATCATCCATCACTTGGCTGCAAGATTCAAAATATAGCATTCAAAATCCTTTCCTAAATTAGCTCCCCTTAATTTTGGAAACTATTTAAATTCATATTCAATTAAATTTGAATTTGAATTTTACTTCCTAAATGAGGAAAACTATTTTAGGGAAGTCCCTCAAATCTCGAAATTTTGAATTTTAAATAGGAGTTGATTTAAACTCACTTACCTATTTTAAGATTCTAAATATAGCCACCTTTAACCCCTCATATCAATCACCCATAATCATGTTAGCCGCCGGCCCTACCCCCCTTCCTATTTCCTTTCCCTCCACTTTTCAAATTGATTATTGAAGGCATTCCTTATTCGATGCATCTTAAGTTTGAAAAGTTTTTAAATTCAAATTTAAATTCATTTGAATTTGAAATTCTTTCTTAAAATATGATGAATTATATGAGGCTTTCCTTAATTTTCCCAATTTGAATTTAATTAAATACCTATCATAATTCCTCTTTCCTTATCTTAATAATTCAATTTTGGAAATTCCTTAAATCCACATTCATCATATGTGGACACATTCACCGTATGTGGACACATTCACCGTATGTGGACGCCTTTCCTTTTTCCCCTCTTTTGGCCGACCCTCTCCGTTCTACATCACCTTCAGGTTCTCCAGTAGTAACTTTTGTTACTTTTTATCATTAAGCAAGCATTTTAATACATATTCCTGGTTTTATTTGCTGAAGCCTAGAGCTTATTTCTTGATGGCTTTTCTCACTTTCAAAAAAGAAAAAAATCACTTTAATACTCGTATTAAAATTCTTCAACAGGATGGGGGGCATAGAGTTTTTAAGTTAGTTTTTATAATAATTTCTACTTTGGCATCCACCATCAAATTTCTTGTTCATACATTATTTATTTATCAAAATAAAATTATGGAAAAAAAAGCACCCAATATTGTTGAAAGATGCTCAACCCTTAAATCTTAAAATTGAATTATGATAAATCATTGGGATTCTTCCTTTGAGATTTATGTCAACAACCTCCTTCATATTATTCTGAAGGTAAATTTATGGTTGCATGTTGAAAATAAACAAATCTTTCGTACTTTAGCATGCATATTTTAGGTAAAACAATAACTACAAGTGTTACCTATATTTTAATATTACCACATGGAATTTTATATCTCACGTGATTGATGAGTATTATTTCCTTCGTTAAAGCAGCATCGTCAACATTAGAGTCAATACAGACTTATATTTTAAGAATTGGTCTCTTCTAGGCTCAAGCTACCGTTCATAACAAATTTCTAAAGACTTGATCTTCTATTTTGAATTAATGTTGTTAGATTTTCCCTTTGTAGATAAATCATGTAATCTATAAATACTATCATTGATAGAAAAATGTGGTGAATTTCATTTTCTATGGATTTTTATTTTATAAAAAAAATACTTGGCAATCATATTAATTTGCCATTGTCATACCTCAATGACTGAGCTTTTGGGTAACCGACGGTCAATCATCTTACGGCATCTTTCAGTTGAGGAGTTTGTCGGTGTGAGCTTCGAGTTGGCTGAATCAGATTCAGATCTAGTCGTCTTAGACACACTAGATGATCTGGGTGCGATTGAAGATGCCTTCTGAGGAATTTTTGATGACCCATTCCTGATTCAACCAAGCAATTAAGTTACAGTTTGGACATGATTAAGGATTAAGCATAAATAAGTAACTCAAATTATAGGAAAAATGAACTATTTCTCTTCTCTCACAGTGATGATGAGTATTATTTCCTTCTGCTATACAATCGAAAGCATCGTCAACATTAGAGTCAATCTATCACCGATCTATTAATATTTTAAAAATTGAGTCATCTTAGACCTAAGCTATCCACCGTTCATTCTCCAAATCCATATTTCTACAGACATCTTGATTTCTTCTATCTTGTACTCATGTGTTTAGATTTTCTTGTGTCTAGCATCTCTTTTAACTCCCTTATTTCTTATACTAATTCTTATACTATCTCATTCAATTGTAGAAATGCTGTGTGACATTTCAATTTCACTGGATTTTTATTTTATAAAAATAATGCATACTGCTCGTGTCCGGTCCAATCATATAATTCTCTCTTTACATTCTGTCTACTACCTCATCATGACGAGTTTGGGTAATCCCCAGAACTCTCCCTCTCGGTTCTAACCATCCTATCTTACCGCGCATATTTAGTTAGAGGTTGGTCGCTTTTTGTTGAGCTGCGACGTCTTTGCGCTTGTATAGAATCTTCCAGATTGTCCGTCTTAGACCACACCTTACGATTGATCTCTGCGGTTGCGATTGCAAGCTGCTTCCTGACGTCGAAATTTTTGGATGACCCACTTTCTCCTTGCATTCAACCAAGCATTAAGAGTTCAGTTTGGACATATAATCGATTACGCCAATACACATTCAAGTACCTTCCCAAGTTTCATAGGAACCATGTGTGCATATTTTAATTCATCCGACCAAAACCTTCTGTTAGTGTATGAACTTATATGCTATTCTTCCATTTTGAATTCAGCTTCCTCTTTTCAAATGATTCTTTCATACTTTGTTGGATGTATGGATCAAGTAGACATATTCTTGACCCGGTGTGCTTCGGCATATTAATTCTTTTCTATAAAGCATCCATCTTTGTCGCCTTCTTTATTTTCTCTTTATAGGTGCGAAAAAAATTCCCCACCCTCTTTTTACACTACAATCAAATATAAATTTGTTGGATGATTCAACCCTGGGTCAGCCTTAATTAGCATCAATTTTCATTCCTCCATCTCAAAATCATAAATTAACCTCTTCCAGATTGAATAGGACATAACTTCCCGCAATTCATTCTCATACACTCGATAACTCTATCCTCCAACACAACCCATTTCTTCAAATCTTTCTATATGAAGAAAAGGAAATGATTGAAGACTTCAGATACGTCTTTCTATTGCATGGACTCGTATCTATTTAGATCTCCATACTATAAATCTTTGATTGCTCTATCCCTCTTGTGCTGGTATATCGTTTCGTTATTTCTCTGCCAGTTCTCCTTTATATCTACTCTATCTAAAATCTACAAACCTTTATCTATTTGAGCCAAATATCTCTAAATGCTTATACCTCGCAGCAATAATATCCTACCCTACGTGCTTCTTCCATAGCAATGAGATATTTCGAATCGCAAATAGTGTAACAAGGATATCGGGTTTCATGCTATCTCGTTTAGATCTTCAATCTTACCTCAAATGAAAGTGATTCATATTGAAGCAATCTAACAATGTTTTGAGAACCCCCTCAATTTATCTATACTTTTCTTTGTCTTTTTTTTCTGATAATACCCTTTGCTCTTCTACTCCTTCAATCGGATTGTTATGCATCTTCGAATACTGTGAAGGCCACAAGGATGGAGATTTGTTTATACTTTATCTCAGTAATGATATAAGCTACTAAATGGTAGAGTGACTTCTCTCTCTCTTCATAGTCCAACAAAATGGTTAACTCTGCTCCCATGTCCACCAAACCACAATAACCCATAGATCAGATCCAGATTTCAGATTGATACTCACTTTCCAAAATATCGATCTAGTGTAGAGTGTGTCAGCTTTTCTTCCTCACGTTCTCTTGTACAATCATCTCTATCTCAAGTACGTTATCTTTGTGCTTGCTCGTCTCTAAAAATATATGATGCACCGGAACTTCTCTCAATAAGGTCTGTTTGCCCCTTGCTCCGACCCTCCTCTGCTATTCACCGACACGACATATCACTCTCCGTTCTCATCTTCTTCGTCTCTTTCTTAGCTCTCTCCTCTCTATCTATATTCTTCTCTCTCCTCCGACCACGTTCAGACTCCATGCTCTCTCTCGAAAACACAGTCCTGATTTAAAATACTCATTCTCCTAATATAACTCTTCGTGGAGCTCTATCTGTGTGTCCGACCAGTATTAAAATATCTTCTCTCTTTGGAATTCTTTTTTTAATATCTAAGCTAATTTGCTCTTTTCTTTTCGTAGTTCCTTTTGGGCCGTGATTTCAAATCTACAATATTTGTTCATCTCTCATATCCACAACACCAAATCAAGTCCGCCACTTTTATAACATCATGTCTTCTCTCATTTCATTTCTTTTGTTATGAAGTTAGCATTCTAAATTGACTATCCTTTTGTATATCATAATAATTATCTATTAGCACAACTAATGTCTGAACTTGAGTTCCCTGTTTGAGTTGTGGCTTTCCTCATTGATTTGTAATATTACATTCCTACACCAACTCTCGAATATGACGAGTATAACAAGATTTTTGGTCTTATACTTCGCTTTATTAGGCATACAATTAATGTAAAACTTAATATAAATATAAAAAAAAGAAAGGAAATATAATAAAAAAGTAAATAATGCGAGAGCGTAGTGGAGTAAGACCTGGTTTAAGATTTCCGCATGTTATCTTTATACGTCAACTGATTAAGCGCTCCTCACAAACTGCAAACAACAATAAGACCAGATAGACATAGAAACGGATTAAAATTAGAAAAGGTATAACGCCCTTTCATTCAAGAATTAACCATAAAACAAATAATGTTGCACTTTCCTCATTTTTTAACTGTTTTTGCTTACAAAAGTAATGAAAAGTACAGTGAATTAGGCCACCTGTACTTTAATTTTCTATTACTAAATCTTATTAAAATGCTGTACTCTGTCATAGGACATATTGTTTTAAAATGTTTAGATCAAACTCGAGCATATAACAAAATATGGTTTTGAATGTCTAGCAGTAACTTTAAAGAAATGTGTAACAAAAATAATGGTTGATATGTATGGATTCATAATAAATGGAGCATAGGGAGCGGAATACTGGAAATAATGCGGCGAAGTGTTTTTTGGATAATAAAATGAGTAAAAACGAGGCAAGCTAAAGCAAGCCCCAATTCTAGTTTGATTATTTTATTTTAGCTCAAGACAAATTTTTCTTGAAAATTATCTATTTAAAGTGAAGTTTTGTTGATTCAAGCCTTCTCTGTCTAAAGAAGTTCTTCCTATCCAAGAAAGCAGCAAGAAGCTTTGGATTGCCCTAATCTACCACTTCTAAGTACAGAGATGACTTACAATCCTCTGTTCCCATCTTCTTCCACATTCACTTGCTTCTTTCAACCGTTAGAACAGAGCAATCCAAATAAAGAAAAAGAAAATAACAGAAGTATGGATGAAAGCACTTCCTTCTTGTCAATGGGCGGTGGTTTTACAACTCTCTTCCCAGTCTTCTTTTTCCCCGTAGCTTCAGACGCTACCAGTAGAGATAGAGAGATAGGGGGGGAGATGGAGTGAAAAAGAGAGAAACGATCTTGGGAGGAGAGTTAGAAGAGTATTATATCAGCATTAGGGTTTGTTTTCATCTCAGCGCAGGGTTTGCGGCGAGTTACAATTGCAAGCCGCCTGTCGAGACGAAGAGTTTCCGACACGACGGTGA